CTCCATCATGGAAACCGGTAACCTAAGCCCCGGGACTCGGAGTGGCGAACCACATAAGGCTTCATTAGGTAAGGCGTATTACCGAACCGGAAGACAGCAAAGCTGCCTATCACACCGGTGAAATCGATTAAACCAATGCGTTACAATCCCTCCCCACTTGTTTTATGTGCATTATNACTTCACTGCGTTTTATTTCTTTGTACAGTGAGACAATGATGAGTAGTATGAAGAACAATTTCACTGAAACAAAAAAGCTCGACCTAGGACACACAATGAAAAACTACTTTACTTTTCCAAATTGTGGATTATATTTAGCTATATAAAAACAAAAATTGTCCACGAACATCACGAAGATCGATAATCTTATATTAATCGGAGACAATGAAACATTTTCACTAACTATGTTGTTTACTGAGTATACACATGCACGATCAACTTTCAGGAAGGAAACCGCAGTCATGCTAAGGCTACCTGAGGAAACAGAGAAATGGGAAAGATGGGAGGCAGTCTTGCGATTTGAACTCAGAACCCCTGAGTTGCTACGGTGAATACCTTGACGACTTAAACATCGTCGCACAACGATACTGATTACTGGGGACTACTCTCAGTCGTACCGGTATTGGAGACGTGCAGGCGCGCTTTTAAAGGCTTTAGTTTTTTATTGTAGTGTGCAATGACTGGTGAAGGTTTTGTCTTTTTGTTTCTCGAAACATAACTACAACTGCTTCATCAATTATTTATTACTATTCATAGTTATTTCTCACGAGGATAAAAGAGCCGTACAGTTTTTTAAGGGTATTTCGGCTTGGCATGCACATAAAATTAAAACAGAATAAATTTGCAAAACCTTATTTCCCGATAACAAAATTGTCTGCCAGTATTTTCTACATTTTCCTGTATTGTTCAACCTTTGTTTTAGATATTGAACAAGGAGTTTACCTTACACAATGAAAATATAATCATCGTCTCTACTTCTATGAATATGTTTTAGAATTCAATAAATTTACTGTCGCAAGCACAAAATGACATCCACTTAGTGTACTGAATAAATGGCCCCTGTTTTCATTTATTATGTTTATTTGTGTCCTTGTGTCGTTTTTATCAGTTTGAAAATCAGCATTTCTGCGGGAATTCCTATGTATTTTACTTCATACGCTTATCAACATTCGAAAATGCAGATATTCAAAAACGTAACTCTAATATTTAAGCAACCTTGCTAGAACGTTTTCAGCTGTTTGTTTTGAGCAACCGCGTTCATCACTGAGTGCGGCATTTTTTAGCATGATTAAATACCAACAGTGCACTAACCATGCAAAAAAGAGGAGATTAAATTTAAAATACTAACAAAACTAGATCTAAGTATAAAAACATTTTGTCCATTTTTGAAATAACCCCAAAATGACAAGAGTCCCGACATAAATGGAAAGCAAATTCGTTTATTTTAAAATAGCTTGAAATGTGCAACATGCTGTCACTTATTCTTAAGGGCTCAAATCTGGCTTAAAAGTGTTTAACAAGTATACTTTATTTCTAGTTCAGAGTAAGAGCTTTAAATGGTACCCAGACTGTCATTGGCAGATAAATGTATCAAAACATACATTGCACATCAATGGAGATAAAATGGCTCTCTGGAATATTTCATTTCGTCAATCATTTTAATTATTGTGAACCCATTCTCAAAAGCATGTTAAATTTGTCTAAGGAACGACATTTATTCCTGCTATTAATCGAGATTAGATATACAACTCTAATGAATCCCCCAACCATTGACTCATCTTAGTTATCCTTTGGTGGTTTACTACATCTACTAGCAGTTAAAAGTTAAGGAAAATAAAAGATCATTATGATAAGGCCTTGAAATGGTTGAAAAGTCAAAAGAGTATGTAAATTGATGATATACTCAAAGGCCACTGTTTATGACCAAGGGTTTTATTTTGCCTTCAACCACAGACTGGTCCTAAGAACGAATACCAAGAAGAGTAAAGGAGGTTATAAGATCCAATTCGTGAGGGTGGGTATGACAGCTTCAACTCAGATTAAGGCCTGGTAATCCTACACCTTTACCGTGATTCCTAATCAACAAAAAAGAGGACTAAACAACACATCTTACTGGTTGTGGCAGACAGTTCAATTTGTACCCTAATCGTGCACCTTTGTGCAAGGGTTTTGATTGCTGTTTACTGGTCAGCCATTTGAAGATTAGAAGGAAGTTCAACCTGAAAGTAGTGTCGGTGACACCAGTGGTCACCAGTTTGCTCGACTACACGCACAGGGAGTATGATCGAATCCATTGGACACCGGCCTGTCATACCATCCCGCTGTCTTGCGGATCATCTGAGAGCTTCAGTTGTGAATCTACAGGAAAGCGCACCAGCAACATGGTGTTATTCCATTCACTTGGGAAAATAATAGAACATTTTCTTTTATAAAGATAATTTCACCGTAGATTTTGGGTTATCTAAGAATTAAATTTGGTTGAAATTCATGGATTCATCTGAACATTCACGATTCATAGCGAACTAAAGTAAAACCCATTGTAACACATCATTCATTCATTGTTACCCATAATATGTCCTTGCATAATACGAAAATACAAATGTGCTAGGCTTTATTCTGCCGGTTTATACTAGACTTGCTGAATTCTTTGTAGATAATGGTGCTCGGGTAGCGATAGAAGGTTAATAGATGACTACAATTGAAAAACCATGGGGTTGAATAATTAAATGTGGGATTTGATGGAATATTTTCACCTCCACAAAAAATGTTTTGCGTGAGAAAATGTCTCAAAGAATCTAAAACAAATTAAATTTACGTTTATTATTTCTCTTAAGTTGCGAAAAGTGATTTAGATGAAAGAAATCTAGATCCTAAAAGCAGTTAATTAATTAAAAGGGTAGATTATATCGCGTTTTGAAACGAAGAATCCTGACAGTGCCTATTATATTACCATGTATATCCGATTGAATGTGTGGAGTTCGCAGTACAGTGTTTGGTTCGGAACTCATATGTAATAAACTGAGAATTACTGAGAACTGTCCGGTGAACAGCCTTTACTTGACCCGATTGAAAAAACGCGAAAAACTAATTTTGGAACGCTGCGCTTATGTTTTAGGTAACTGAGAAATGTTACAGCTAACCAAACATTGTTTGTGTTCAGGTTTTTTACGGTTGAGTTACTTAGATGATTTATATGGTAAATGAATCAACATGATGCTTTTTCATTGTTTACCAAAGCCTCTAATGATTTTCATGGTAGAAGTCAGTTTGCTGTTTATTAACGAAAAACAATTTGCTTTGCCACGACATGCTTTCGTATTACCGTTGTTCAAGAAAAATTAGCTTACAAATGCCTGATGGGTGACCCGGTCTGAAACATACTCATCATGCGAGACAGCTTCGGTTCATAACCACGGTTTGCATTCCTTCTGAAGAACAACGAATACATCAGAGGACATGCACTGACGTCACGCAACATGCAGAGAAATAGTCTGCAGCTGTTCTGTCTCCTCTCAAGGAGGGTGACTAACCTATGGAACGCAGCACCGGAGGATGTGATGCAAGGGGAGAATGACGGAAGGTGAAACTATACAAAGCCATACAGGAGTACTATAGTGGTAACTTATAGCCAGATCAGTGGAGCACAACGTGGTGGGGTTAACAAGGGAGAACTTCCATTACAGTTTCAACGTTAATATTGAAGTAGACTAAACATCTCCAATAAATGCCACTGAAAAATGTGTGAAAAATTTATTGAGACTATTTTAGTGCCCTCTAAAAGGTACACTACGGTCTATATGCCGCACCGGCACAACGGAACCACTGCAGTGTTATCGAAGTCTTGGCGAAACGAGCCACTAAACAGCAGAGAACTTGCTGAACTCTTCATTACTCAATGGTCTCATTTGATTCCCGATGGGGCACGAATTTGGCTGGAGTCTCCTTTTGGTTACCGAAGGATCCCGGTGGAACTTCCCTGTAACTCTAATGGAACTGGAATACAACTTCCATATGGCTATTGTTTAACATTGGTAAACCCAAGAAATACAAGTATAAAAAATATGCATGTGATTATAGGTATGTATACAGTCTACAGCCTACACACATATATGTGTATATGTACACCGATGGCTTGCGAAAAACGAATTGTACACAAATAAAATGTACACAAAACTCCACACCGAGCGACACTTACGGAATTCTTTTTCGGAAACCTATCTAAAACTCAGAATAAATTTAAAATAATTAAACCTTACTTTCATCCAACTTTATTTCACATTTCACAGCATCTTTTTCGGCTTCGGCTAGCGGATCTGTAAATTCATCATATTGGGCTGAAACACGTGGTTGTAGCACCAGCAAGTGAACCTGATTTTTAAGCTCTTTGATGTAATCAACCGCTTCCCTGTGGGGAACCCCTCCTATGCAAGTATATGTCAACCGAGCAAAGGCCACTTACGAACAGATTTTCCATTGACTTTCCATAGCACATCTCCGGTCAGTAAACCTCCCAGCTCCGCTGGTGAATTGCTTTCCACTTTTTCTATGTGCTGAATGTTTCCAACGGCTTCGGTTCGTAAACTGAATCCGTAACCGGAAAAGTTTGGCAAAATTGTCAGGTGGCACAAACGGGGCTTGGACGCACCAATTTCCGCGAGGTCACTCATATTTGCACAAATATGAGTTTTCGTGAAGCGCAGTTAATTTATAAAACAAAAATGGAGTGAGACAAATAATAAAAACAACATTGAATTATTACAATCCGGTCCGATTCAAGTTAAACTTATAAGATGACAATTGAAGTGGTAGCTTATCACAGGGTTCGGAAATCACCATAGTAGTCTGTCTTATATATCTACACTGAGCACAGTTCAATTCAGTTCAGTTTGCACAGGACGATGTGTGGCCCGGGCCAATCTTGCGTTCAGTTCAGATCAGATCAGGTCAGGTCAGGTCAAACTGTACAGGACTGAATATGGCCACAGCCAATCGAGCGTCCAGAATT